CAACTTTTCGATCGGTGAGTATCTTGCCTCACAATCAGTAAACTTTTTTTGCTGAGGTAGTAAATTGCTCTTTTTTTTTTCTCGGTTTGGTCATGCTGCCCTAATACACACCCTATTGAATTCTCAAAGATTGACAAGTAGAGAATTAATGGTTTACCCGACATAGGTGGCACTAAGATTGGGGTATTTGACAAGTATCACTTAATTGCTTCAAAAACTTCTTGAAAACCATCATTCCACACTCCTGGATTATTTTTGCAGAGAAGGCAAAAAATGGGATCACATTTCTCAATCAATTGTGAAAAAAATCGAGCAATGTAGTTTAATCTCCCTAGGAATCCTCGAACTTCTTTTTTTATTTGTGGGGTGGTAAATTTTGAATTGATTTGACTTTTTCTAGATCTACTTCAATCCATTTTTTGTTCACTAAAAACCCCAAGAGTTTCCCAAATTTCACCCCAAACGTACACTTGTTTGGATTGAGTTTTAGCTGGCTTTTTCTCAATCTTTGGAAGAGTTTCCTCAAATCCTCTACGTGCTCTTCCTCTGTCTTGGCTTAACGATCATATCATCGATATAAACTTCTATTTCTTTATGCATCATGTCATGAAATAGTGTTACCATAGCTCTTTAGTATGTTACCTCTGCATTCTTTAGCCCAAACGACATCACCTTGTAGCAAAATATGCCTCGTATGGTGACAAACGTAGTTTTTTCCCATATCTTGAGGGTACATCTTTATTTGATTGTAATAGCGAACCCATCCCTGAATGAAAACATATAATTTCTAGCGGTATTTTCCACCAGTGTGTCTATGTGTGGAAAAGGAAAATTATCATTCTTGCTCACCCTATTATGATCACTGTTGTCAACGCACATACAAACATTTTCATCATTCTTTGGCAATAGAACAATGTTTTCCACCCATTTTGGATACTTGGATACTTTAAAGAATCCATCATCGAATTGTTTCTTTACTTTTTCTTAATTTTTAGCAACATCTCAAGTCTCATCCTTCTAAACTTTTTTTGTACAGGTTTACACTCTAGCTTTATCGGCAATTTGTGTACCACCTACTCAGTATTTAAACTCGATATGTCCTAATATGACCAAGCAAACATGTTATTCTACTCTTGAAACAATTCAACCAAATTCTGTCGTCCCTCAGTAGATAGAGTACTGCCAATATTTATTTATTTCTTATTTTCATATGATCCCAGATTCAAAATTTCAGTGGGCTCTTCATGAGGCAGAATTTGTATTCTTCATTTTCCACCATTTTTAATAGTTCAGAAGGTAAGTCACATTCCTCATCATTATCACAACCCTTAATTTCCCCTTGACATATGGGCAGTAAATCTCCAAGTCAGTTTCATTAGCTTTATACTATTGATACATGAGGTCCTGAAATAATAACGAACGAGATGATATATACATATACAAATATAGGAGAATATATCCCATATCAAAATAGAATAAAATAATATATAAATAATAAAGAACAAAAAAAGCATGGGAGAATGTTGGCCACTTTGTGAATTAATAAGAATGCATCTTTTTTTGAAGATTTAAAAACAAGTACATTAACCCTTTACAAAAGATCACCTATTACCCCAAGTTTAGACAACAGGGAAAGTTTTCATGTATTACTCTGAAAAAGTTTTGTAAACTACAACCAACTCCTCTGCAGTTTAATTGTTTAGCACGAAGACTGGAGGTGCGAGATAGATGCCTATAGCTCTTTCTTCTTCAGCCTCATCATCCAATATAACATTAATGCCTAAATCTCCCAAGGCATCCTCAATAATTGGTTCCTAAGTTGGCTGGCATCCTTGGAACATATGGTCTTCCGATACAAAGGTATCGTGCAGTGGTGGAAAATCATTGGCTCTCACTTAGTAAGTTCCCCAGCTAACCATGCTCTTCTCTTTCCTGACTCTCTGGATTCCCTTTAATTTCTCTTTCAAGGTCGTCCGATATCCCAGGACAAAATGGTCTCTTTTGATAGTGGAAAAAACTGGATCAACATATCCCTGTAGGCAACTCCCTAGCCCATTTCCAGCCTTGGCTCTCCTCCCCAGGGTAAACTTTAGCTCTATCCTGGTATAGTTAGACAATATAGGTTTTGATATCTTTCTTCCCTTAGCCACGAATGTTGAATTATCAAACTCCAGGAGAGCAGTTGTGGACACATACGCAAAAATATCTTCCTCAGGATTGATGTATACTAGTTTACCCTCAATCACGAATTTGAGTTTCTGATGCAGCGTGAATGGCACAACCCCCACCTGGTGGATCCATGGACTTCCCAATAGGTTATTGTAAGTAGGCATGATATCCATATCAAGGAACTCGACCTCGTAAGTAGATAGGGCTATAGTCAAAGGAATATCAATTTTCCCCAGCACTTATATTTTCATTCCATCAAATTCTAGAATAACACTCTGGCAATTCTCATATACGTACTATATACTGGTAACTTCTTCAGGGTTACCAATGGTATTATATTCAGCACAGAGCCATTGCCAACTAACACTCGAGATAACACATGCCCCTTGCATCTAATAGTAACATGTAGAGATTTGTGAGTGGCAATTATCCCAGGTGGGATCTCATCATCAGAAAAAGAGATAAAATTATTGTATTGAATATTCACAACCATCATTTGGCATGAAAGTCTAATTCAAGACTTTCAACAGATTATTTCTGCATGCCTCGGAGCTTAGTAAAAGAGCAAGGATCGAGATGCGAGTAGGTAGCTAGTTGTTCAACGATGCTATACTCGCTATGTTTTAAAAATTTTAGAAACTCTATAGCCTCATTTTCTATCACAAGCTCATTAATAAATAGTTCGTCATCTTTCAACAACAATTCAACCTTCTTCCCTTTATCAGTGGTAGTTATTTTCTTAGGTTCTTTGGTCTGATTAGGAGAATAACATCTTCCACTCCTAGTGAAATGGCCTACTTCATCTACTTCTTCTTTGGCGATCTCTGAAGTACCCACGTTATCTGTCTTGCACTCATATATCAAAGGGACTTGTTTATTGTCCTTGTAAGGAAATAGAGATGGGGTGTGTGATTACCACTTTAATAGTTACTTTCTCTGTCACACAAATTTTTGGTGTGATGACTAAAGGACAGATGGCATTGTAAACTCCCCTGGAAGAACCCTCTGACATATAAACCTATGCTTCTTCTTTTTCAGCTACTTATTTGTAGAATTCCATTTCCTTGTCATCCATCATTCTTTGCACAAAAACTCAAAGATCAGAACAGTCTTGTATGGTTTGACTCTCACAGTTGTGATATTGGCATGCATGCTTACTATCAACTTGTTTAACGACTACGTTTGAGACCAATAGGTACACCTTGATCATCTAACCCTATATCTAATGCATGGGTGAGTTTACCTCACTTACCTTTGTTAAAATCTTTTTTCTTTTTTCCTCAGCAATTGCATCGACCCCTGCGCCTGCATGGTTTGTCAGTGGGTTCTGAGCCACACTTGGTTGTTCATTGTCACCAAAGTTGATGAATTTCTTCTTCCTTAATCTTTGAATAATCTTCTTAAAGGTAATGCACTTCTGTATTGAATATCCTGGAATCCCTACGTGATATTCAATTGGGCATTAGCGTCATACCATATAGGGTACAGAGGTTGCATTGGTGATGTATGGTAAGGTGACACCACGTGTTTATCATATAAAATATAAAATAATTCTTTGTAGGACATGTGGATCGGGTCAAACTGAAGCTTCTTTCTCTCTTGTCTTGGCTATCTTGTCATTTTCCTAGTAGAATTTTGTGTATATGATCATGTGGCTTGAGGTCGAGACACAGTGATGTTATTGGAGTCATATTTCCTCACATTATTAACTTAGTTATCTTTCTTTTGTGTTGGCGGTTTCTTACTAGACTCTTCTCCATCAAGCCTCCCACTCTTGATCACCATTTTGATAATCTCTTTTGCTTTAACCAAATCAGCAAAACTCTTAGATGAGTTTCCTATGAGGTGGCAAATGAAATAAACTCTCAAAATGTTTACGAAAAGGATGATGGTTTTCTCTTCTTCAAGTGGTAGATGAACTTGTACAACCACATCCCTCCACCTCTGAGCATACTATCTAATGATTTCATTAGATTTCTTCTCCATGCTTTGCAGCATGATTCGATTAGGCCTCTCATCTTTCACATGCTTATATTGTTCTATAAAAGTTTTAGCCAAATACTTCCATGACTTAAAGTTAACCCTGCTAAACTGATTGTACCAATGGATGACTGAACCTGTTAAGCTCTCTTGGATGCAATTGATCAACAATTGATCATCCCCTATGTAGCCAGTCTTTTTTCTACAGAACATAGTGATGTGAGAGAAACATCTTGTGCCATCAAATTTTCAAAATCCAGAATTTTGAACTTGGGTGGTAGCACTAAATCAGGAACCGGACTTAGCTCATTGACCTTAATCCCATACATTTTAGTGTCTTCATTTATAGCCACAATTTCATCTTCCAATTGTTTCCATTTCTCTTTTAATTACTTGTTCTTCTCTTTTATGCCCTCTTCATCAAAATCTGGGACATATTTAATTGGATGTGGGTTTACAGAGGTGTTGGGTAAGCTTATGTGCACTCTTCGTGGCTGAGCAATTGTTTGCTATGTTCTAACATGCGATGGTGTAAAGCCATGAGGATATAGGGGTTCTTCAGTGGAACCAACAGTTAGAGCCTTTCCACGATAAGCCCGTGGTTCAAAGCTCGGGGGATACACAGGTTCTTCAGTAGTAGCACGGCAATTGGAGTATCTTCTCGATTTATATTCTTTCCTTATAATAGGCTTACAAGTTTTTCCATCATATTATTATGATCTTTCAACATTTTTTCGTGTATCTCCTCTTGACCTTTCCTAAAAATCTCATGCATTTCAAGATGAGTCTTCTCAATTTGGGCAATTCTCTCGTCCATTGCCTTTTTCAGGTATGGTATGGATGCTTAGAAGTTTCCAGTATTCTACCATAAAAACCTTTTATTAATATTGATATTTTATTAATGAATATGAAAAATATGACTATTAATGAATAAAATGCAATGCGACAAGTAATGCAATGTAGATGCAAAAAAATGCAAGATGTTGATTCTGGAATGATTCCTTAGAACAACATATTATATTGGGAATGAAGTTTTGCTACAAGGCTTAAACATATCACAGATAGATCTAAGCTATCTCCCCTAATTACTACATATGCCCAATTAAATCCAAAATCCTTTGAGCTTCTTCAGTCTCGGGTTCCAATACTTCGCTTACAGTAGCAGCTTCATGTGATAAGTCAACCAAGCACTAAGCCACTCTTTGAGCATGTTCCAGGTAGCTTACGATGAGGTCATCCCTTTGCTTAACTCTCCTTTAAGTTTGTTCCCAACGATGGCGCCATTGTATAACTCTTTCATAGGGACTATCGGCAGTTCATTTGCTCTTATCTAAAAATCTTGAACCATAGCTTCAAGTTCAGTCACATGCTTCCTCGAGTTTTCAACTTTTTTTGGTTTGAATTGCCTTCTTGACTTAGGTATTGTTATAAATATGACTCTAAACTCAAAATCCTACCCTTCAATTTCTCATTTTGGGCCCAACTCTCTTGTAGTTGTTGCTTAATGTGTTATTCTCTTTTGAAAGTAGCTTCACCTGATGTCTACTCTGCTTGATTTCTTAGTTGTTTTCCCAACTTATTTTTTTAAACTCACCACTTCCTATCTCCATTCAGTAAGCAATTTACTTGAGCTAGTGGCCAAATGAGCTTTTACTATTCGTTTATATGATAAGGGAGATCATTAAAATTCAATCTGAGTTATTTTTCTATTTTTCAACTCGGTCAGCTCGACCTTTTTGGATTTTGATTTCTAAACCTTTTTGGTATACCTCATTACTATCTTTTATAACGTTTCCTTTTACTGTTTTCTTTCGGCCTCAAAATAATGCTTGGCTAATTCTAATGGAGATGATATCACTCTAAGATGTTCTTCCATGTGCTCAATATTTTCAGGATTGACCATCGGGATATTATCATTAACTTTGTTGCTTCTCCATTACTCGTATTCTAGTGACAACTTTAAGTCGAAGGTGAATAGATTTACTATATGAGTATGCTTCCATGCATCAATAACCCCATTGACTTTACTTTTATAATGCTTTCATTTGAATGTGAACTCTGACCCAAATAAATCCCAAGTTACAGGAACAAACTTTCTTGATCCATATTGCCTGAAAACTAGTAAATGAGCATATCCTACAGACCCTCATATGCCTGATAACAGAACCCAATCTCGTTCTTCACATCTATAAAGTATGTTTAAAGAGTTGTTCCACTAAGTGTGGCATAGTATATCACTATCTCGAATATCTTTGAAGATGACCATCAATTTCTCTTCAGTGAAGCGACTAGGCCATTCTCAAGAAAGGAAACCTTTCAAAGGTGAAAATTCTTCTAGAAACACTCGACCATGTGCCCTGTCTACATTTCTGAAGTGATTGAGGATCCAAACTAGCAACAGTGGTGCGCACCCTATGAAGTTTTCTTATCATTCTCGTATGAAGGAATTTAAGGAACGGAATGTCTCAGTCAAAATAATTGGAACAGGATCCACATGTTTGTCTAACCTCTCAAACAAATCAACCATTGATACATCAACGTGCCCCAAGACCTTTGGGAATATGACTAGCCCATAAATACCCAGAGCAAACATACCAATCTTCTTTATCTTGTCGGGATGACGATCAATTACTTATCTCAAAGCAATCCAGGTAATACACTCACTATCTCCTTTCATCTTAAAGGTACTAATGACCCATTCTTCACCCATTTCAGTCATCAAAAGTAGTTTCTTCTTGAAATAATGAGTGTTTTCCAGTTTGGTGTACACCTCGTCTACTTGGAATCTCGGACAATGAATCAAGGCATGGTACTTCTCTATGGTATGTGTCATATCCACTCGGCCAAAAGTAAAACAATTGTAGGTGAAATTCCAGAACTGCACAATGGACTAAACAAATTTTGATCAATCAGAACATTCAAGAGATAAGAGATGTCACTATAGAGCTGATAAAAAACTACTTATTGGATTCTTCCCTTTCCCCCAAATTTCTTTCAGCACGCTCAGTTCATTTTGGCAGAAATTCATGTGTGTTTACCCAATCAAATTTAACACGTATCCAGGCTGTAAGCTATCTCCATTGGTTAGTTTGGATTGCTCGGACCATCTCAAAACATCTGGATTGTCCTCTACCTCTTTTTGAATCCATTGTTCCATATTACTAGCCTTCTATATGTACATTGGCCATAGATCAACACCATTGAATGAATAGTGCAATGCAAAAATGAAAACAAATAAAAAAGGCAAAAGAAAATTAATTAATAAACATAAAGAAATTAATCGAGCATAATATAATTTATCAATGAAACCTACCCACGCATGATGGCTACCCAATCATGCTTTAGTATATCCTACCCAAACATCATTTCTACTCACATGTTTTGTTTATAGAAAATCCTAACCTCCTGCCATCTAGTTTATATGCTTATTTAAAAAATAAATCTAATCGCATGATCTCTAGTTCGCATACATTTATTCAAAAAGTAAAATTACACTACAAAAATTAAAAGACTCAAAAAGTCTTTTCCTTGTGTACTCTCCTCACATGATTCTTAAGGTTTGGGTTGGGCTTTACCTAGGTTCGGATTCTAGGTTCACTATATGCTGGGTTCAGCTCTAAAGTACAAGGTTCTCGAATTATCCTTGTCGGTGCCCCCTTGGGCTGTCATACCCTCAATCCTGGCCCATCACAAGCTTTCAGATCGAGTTCAATTCAAGGGGACACACCTCCTTATGTCCATACGGAGGTGAAAACCATCACGAGGACTGTAAGGCATGAGCCCCAAGAACAATCTACTATCCCATACGGAGGTGAAAACCACAACATAAAACATGATTTTCAAAATCTTGAACATTTATTTAATCTAAAAATATCAACAAAAAAATCAGTACAACTATTTAGTGGTTAAACCAATTATAAACATAAAATTTATTTAAACCAGATAAGAAATCAAAATCAAAATTAATTAACTAATGGCTCGACTCTCTAAAAAAGTTCCAGTGGAGTCGCCAAACTGTCAAAACAATTTTTCTTAAAAAAATTTAATTTTTAAATTTAATTTTTAAAATATATCATTTCGAATAATTTGGTGACCTTTTAATAATAAAAGGTGATTCAAGGGGTCACCACCAATCTTTGATTAAGGTGTGATTAGGCACCCAAGAACGTGTTTTTCATTTTAATAAAAATATTAATTTTAATTAAAACAAAAAATTTGTGCTATGTGTTACCAAAAATTTGAGTTTGAGAGTCAGTTATGCGTACAGAAGGATTAGTCCCCACTACTCCCTAAATCAGTACCTAGTCGATTAATTAGTTGTCTTTGCAATGAAATTTACGAGTTGGAATTAATTTAATTTAAGATCCCATATAAATAGTAGTATTTTCATTTTAGGACGAAATACAATTATATTTAATTATTTCATATCGAGAAGAGCCAACCTCTCATGCCTTAAAGTAGTAGATTCTTACTATAATCGAAATAAAGGAAATATTACAATTCCAACCTAGAGTTCATTATTAATTTCAAATTTAAATGCATAAATAACAATAAAACAAAACAAAATAAATTTAATACTTTCATTTTAAAACAAATTCTTTGAAATTTAAGAGGGAAAACAATAATATTTAATTATTTTCAATAGAGAAAAAGTAACTTCTCATGCCTTAAAGTAGTCATTTATCACTCGAATCGAAATAAAGAAATATTACAATTTCATCCTAAAATTCAATATTAATTCGAGTATTATTTATTTTTGAAATCATATTAAAACAAATATAAAAATAAAACGAAAGTTAAATACGTGCATCAAAAAATATGATTAACTAATTATTTTACCAACCTTAATAAGAATAAGGATGTTCAATTATTTAAATACATCAAGACGAGACCTTAGATTCGATCTAACATTCTTTTCTGGATGAATTTAATTAAAAGAACATGATCTTTTTCTTAATCTAAAATTTTAAATGTAATCAAATTTTTTAGAATTTCAATTGATGGAATACCCTTTTACTTTAAGACTATTGAAAGCGCGATATATTATTCTTTAAGATAATCACTTCTCCTAATCTTAAAACAAATGGATATTCCCTTGGTCAAATTATTTTGACTCGAGTCAAGTCACTTACAAGGGTTTCATACAATTTAATTTAAAATAAAATCTAAGCCAATATGCACCAAATTACTCATTTATATACATATATGTAAATTAAATATCGAAATTAAAATATGTTATAAACGAAATATATATCAATACACACATATGTAAAACAAAAAAGACATGAAGATATATTTTATAGTATGTATAAAAAATACATGGATGTAATATAATAAATAAAAATATATTTGATATATATTCAACTAACTAAAAGCATATTTTATTCTTAACATAGCACACATATAAATGTAGATATATAAATTATGAGGACATAAATACAATTATCATAAAATAAGAGCATTAGAATCATAATAAGATTTAAAACACATGTAGAACTAAAGTGAAATAGAGCATAAAATAAACATTCAAAGCATAAAAGGGCAAGCTTCATTTAGTGGTCGAAACAAAAAATATTTAAAATTAGTTGCTAAAATTAAAATAATCAACAACATATAAACTGAGGTGACTAAAATAAATGCGGGAAAAAATAATGGCCCAAATCATGATAAACAAAAACTCGCATTTCGTGACTAAAACGAAACCTTACAAAGCCCCAAACCCTTATCGCATAAATATCCCGTAATATTAACATAATAAATGGTGACTAGAATATAATAATTGTGAAGGTCATTGCCATAATCAAATATCAATAAAATATTACAATAAGCAGTACGATGACTAACATATAAACCCTTTTATGT